GATACCTTAGGTCACCCCTCTCGGGCATACAAGCCACATCTAGCAGTACTCATCCCGGCGATTCGGAACATCGGATCGTTGCAGATGAGAGCAACAGGCGAATTTGATTTTGGACCTTTTAGGTTTTTCATTTGTTTTTTTGAAACATTTTGTTCAGTTATTAATAACACTACATTTTTTATATTGTTCTTGGAATTGCGTTTGTGATATATTATATATATATTATATATATGATATTATATTATATGTCAATCAACAAGGCGAAAATATATGTCAATTTTCACAAGTGCGAAAAATTTATGGTTTCATAATAATATTTATTTTTTTATTAATTTTTTCAATTTTGCGACTGATTTGCTACCAAAAATTAACATTTTAAATTTACAATTTGCGACCGACTTTCATAATTGCGACAGACTTTTTCTGTGACCAATTTGCAACCGTGTTTCAAAAGAAAAACACGACCAAAATTTGCAACCGATTTTTAATTTTTGTGATCGATTTTATCGGTCGCTAATTTGCGACCGACACAAAAATCGATTGCAAATTACTTTGCGACGACGTTTTTTGCGACCGATATCTACAGGTCGCTGATCAGTCACTAATTGAAATTAGCGATCGATTTTTGGCATTTTGTCGGTCGCAAAATGCCATTTTTTTTGTAGTGTTTCGTTAAAATATATACAGTTATATGTTTGAAAATTAATATTAAATAATTCACGAACCCAAAATTACAAGTAGTCTGAAAATATCTTACAAAATGCACTTCATTTTGGTATATTTATTTTGAAAAACACCTCATAATTAGAATATCATTCTTGAAGTTTTTATGTAATTTCTAAAAAAGACTGATGCCAAAGGAGAAATTATATAGAACTGATGCTTTATAGTTTTGGAGATGCTCAAGGAGAAATTTTATTGTTGTAAATCTTTCTTTGTGGCTTTCTTCACATTTCCAAACAAGCAAATGATCATTCCAACGAAATTATACTATTACACATCTAGAACATGATAAGCTAGATGTAGACCACAAAATGTTTATTACATGATATTATTCTAATGCATATAATACTAGAATATAATACTAGATTACACGACCATAAACTAATTAAATTAAACCTAGCTAGATTTCGTTTGGGACGTTTCCTGCATTGCTTAATTCAAGGGTACGGAGTTTTTTCACTGTTTTCCATCTTTCCACTCATGTCTTAAAGTCTGAGAATGTAGATTTCCCACTCAAAATTGTGCAATAGAGCAGGCCACACCAAAGGTGGGAAACTACTCTTGAGCCAATCCCCATGGCCCACAAACATATTCTTCTCGCTGACCGAATTGGAATGAGCTTGGAATGAGCTCAAAATTCTGCCCCTTGTAATCAATATTTGAACCTAAAAATCTCTCAGGCTTGAAATTCATTGGATCCTCCCAAGATTCAGGATCTCTCCCTATTGCCCATGCATTTACAAGAACTTGAGTGCCTTTGGATATATGGTACCCCATAAAATTTGTATCTTCTATTGTGCTTCTTGGAACTAGTAAAGGAACTACAGGATGTAATCTAACTGTTTCCTTTATAACAGCTTGTAGATATGGCAATTTGTCTATGTCACTCTCTTCAACTTTCCTGTTTTCTCCAACAACCGCGTCGAGTTCATAACTTTCCTGTTTTCTCCAACAACCGCGTCGAGTTCATCTTTAACTTTTCTCAAAGCTTCAGGATTAGAAAATAGCTCTGCCATTACCCATTCCATTGTCGAGCTTGTAGTCTCTGACCCAGCAAAAAACATTTCCTTCAACATTGAACACAACCAATAATTTATTAAATTCAATATAATACTTCAATTGAAAAAAAAAAATTCAAATGCTAATGCCACACATACTCCTATAATTATCTATGCTTACCAAAATGATTATGATCATTTTGTCATATGGAATTTTTCCTTCCCATTCTTTACCATCACCTTCAAATTCCAACAACACATCTAGGAAGTCCTTATTAGCCTTTTTCTTGCCCTTTTTCTTCCCCATTTTATAAATCCTCAATTCTTTCTTTTAACAAACCCAGCCCACAATGTCTTTTGCACGTCCCCACTGTACTCTTGACAATGTTTCCTTTTGAGTTCCTTGAGGATACCAACCGAGTTGCAAGAATGGTTAGGAAAGTCTGCAGGATCCAACCATTGCAAGAATGGTAGAAAGTCTGCAAGGTTTGGTGTTCCAGCCCAAACCATGACCTTGTCCATGGCCTCAAAGAACTCATACCCTTCTTTGCACTTTGAATCGAAAAGGTCTTTTGATAGCATAAGATTACCAATCAAATTGAATGTCATTACGAAGAGATAGTGAGGAATATGCACTTTCCCTGATTCTCCACTTGCTTTTCCAGCTGCCATATCATCTTCGATGCTCCTGCCCAACGTAGACATATTTTAAGATTATGATATAATTGTCGGACAAGGGTCCATGATTAGCACAAAAAAGAATTTTAAATTAGGTGGATCAAATAAAAACAAAAACTCTCGGTTTTTCTAAAGTAAAATTTTACAAAATGTTGGACTTTTGGGTTATATATATAATATTAATTTAATGGAAAAGCAAACATCATTTTCTTGAGTGTTAATAATGAAAAAGAGATTATCGCTAAAGTTAAATGAAACTTACAATTGAAGGCTAAAATAATAAATTATCATGAAGAGCATCTTCGTACTATAACGACACGATAATATAGATATAAAATATGGGAATTCTTAAAAAAATAACATACTCCATGCTAATGATACAATCATTTATGGGTAGAACAAAAAAATTATCCACAAAAATATATAATTCATAAAAAAAAAATAAAAAAAAATTGGTTGTTAATTCAACTTGGTGAAAGTATCTACTAATTTGCTTTTATTTTCTAATTTTAGTCATATTCTGAGGATTTAATAGATATAACTTATGTATTATAGATTAGAGCCATTTATTTTCATATTTAAAGTTATTTTAAAATATTTAATATAAAAATCAAATCATGTTGTAAAGCGAAAAAGACTAAAGGTATATATAGTTGAATTCAACAATGACAAGTGCAATAAATTTATTATGAACTTCTTAATTTTTAGAAAAAGAAAATAAACAAAAGAGTTTTATCATCAATATAATAAATTTATTATTAGGTAATAAAAACAAAAGAGTTTTATCATCAATATAATAAATTTATTATTAGGTAATAAAATAATTAAAAATTTAATAAATAACAAAATGCCATATGGGCAATAAATAATAATAATTTGATGAAAAAAAAACTATAAAAATATCTAAAATTCTTGGGAATGTATAACAAACATGTATATTGGACAGTGGTTAAAAACGCAATAAAAACGACAATTTTTATTATCAAAAATGCAAATCTTTGCTGAAGTGGATATTGAATCACACGCAAAAAAATACGAAAACAATAACAAACATTACCGTATCATTACATCGATGCATTTCCGTCGAATCTGGACTGTCTCATTGATTCGCCTGTTGGCCAGGAGTTCAATAGCGCATATACGCCTTATCGTTCGCCAATATGGCCCAAACCGACCTACCGCAATTGATCCTTCTTTGTAGTTATGAGAGGTAAGCACACAGGGAACCGTTCGGTCACAGAAGCTGGCGTCATGGTTCTTGAACAGCTCCATTACAGCCTTTGCTGATTGTATTACCACAGTGTCCACCAATCCTATTCTTAGCCGCAGCACTGGTCCATACTTGAATTTAAGCTCATATAAAATCCGGTGCGCCATAGTTCCAAGATCAAAAATGTTACCGACGACTGGCCATCCCGGTGGCCCTGGAGGTCGGTTCTTCTTGCCACTGTCAATCCTCCATTTTTTCTTATTTAGGCATAAAACTAGAGATAGTAGTAAGAGAAGGCTTGACCAAATAAGGGAAGAAGAGTCCATCTCTTTGTTTGTAGTTTGAAACTAGCTAGTGGTACTCAGTAAATATAGAGGAAGGAAGAGTCAACATCTCATTTGTTGTAAGTTTGGCAATAACTAGGCGTAGTGGTATCTCAGTTAGTTTCTCTGAATTCTCAAAACATATATAACCTTATGTAGGTAGAGTTAAGTTGATGCAAATGCGTACTATTTTATTATATTTATAAAAATAATATATAAAGTGTATCAGTTCCAAAATAATATATAAAGCTATCATTTCCCAAAATAATAATAATAATAATAATAATAATAATAATAATAATAAGTAATTGTTGATGCCGGTCCATTCCGCCCGGCCATCTTTGACCAAGACTACTGTAAAAATATTACGGTGTAAAAATATTAATTTTTTATAAAATACTGTTTTAATTTTTAAAAATTATTTAAAAAGTTATGGTGGACATAAAATTTATAGTTAAGTATTGAATCAAGATCTGTTATTCAATCAAAAGGAAATTTCTATTTGGGATTTAAGATCCTTAATTTGGGATTAGGGTATATTTATCCAATATCAATTCAGATTATCAACACACAAGTCTAGGGTTCCGTTTCAATTACAAAAAATACATATTTAACACTTGAACTTAATTGAGTATTATCAATTAAACCCTTAAATTTTATTTTTATTAAAATTATTTTTATTTCATTAAAAGTTCGAAAGTAATATCCCAACGGGGGAGAAGGGTTGGAAATGATTCCTTTTTCTTTAATCAGAAGTTTTGTATTTGAGCTCTGTGTATATAGTCTCTTTAAATGCTCTCAAGGAAATGTTTTACCACCCCCTTAGTGATCCTACCCGGCACAATTCCAGATTAATTAACATGTTGACTTCAGTTATCAGAATGTTTAAACACCAAAAAAGTTAGAAATCGATCATCACACATCAAACGCACTTTAGATTTGTTTATCATCAAACGCACTTTAGATTTGTTTATAATTTTTTTGTGTGCTTTTTATTTTTTTTTTTTTTTTGTGTAAACCAACTAGTATCTAGACCCCATTATCAGGGATTGCCTAATTCAATTCTGGGCTTAATCAGAGTTAAAGCTCTTCATCCCGCCCTGCAGGTGTACTTAGTGGGGGTTGAACCCTAAGTTGATTTGCTTATAATTTTAATTATTTGTCGTAAATTAAATCCTTGAATGCTCAATTATTATGTAGAAACTCTAAAGTTTTATTTAAGCTAAGATTAAATTTTTGTTTTTTATAATAATTTTATATCGTGTCACATTATTATTTGATATATTTCGTGCTATTGATAACTTGGATTTATCGTTCATTCTTAGTAAATATAGGGTTTAATATTCATCCAAATAAAGGGTTTAATATTCATCCAAATAAAGGTTGAGGGACTCAATATCCACAAATAAAAAGGTAAAAAGTTTAGTAGAAAAAACTCGATTAATTAAAATTATATATATATATAATATATATATATATATATATATTGCCAATAAATTTTTTTAGTTTAAAATATCTAATTAATGATTAGATAAAGAAAATAATTATTGCAATTGTAAGTTAAGCAATAACCAATATCCAATATAAATGAATCATGAATGTGTAAATGAATTCTAAGTAGAATCATATATAAATAAATTTCTCATATTTGGTATATCACAATTTAAAATAAAGATTTCAATTGAATTTTACAAAATTCTTAAATGAAATTTCATTTGTCTTTATTTCTTATAATACCCTTAACATAATAATTAATAAAAATAAACAACAAACACCAATTTATTATAACACCCAAGTAAACAACAAACACCAATTTATTATATATAATAAAATAACTTGTTGTTTTTTATTAATTAATTAATTAATTATATAAGTATTAACACTCATCATAATAATTATTTTAATTGTTAAAAGACTTGTTGATTTAAGTACTCAATTTGGAAAGTATAAAAGTATTTAAGAAAAGTTATTACTATTTTTAATTGCATTTGGAAACAATTGTTGATAGTCATCACTTTTTATAGTTTCATCATACTATTACTAGATTTTTTTTAAAAAAATAACATTATTAATAGTTTGGAATTTTCAAAAAAAATAAAAATATAAACTTAGTTATTATCAGATTTAAAAAAAACGTATAGAAAGTTTCAAAAAAAAAAAGAAAAAAACTATAAAGTGAGTTATTATCAAATTTCAAAAAAGTTAGTAGGAATTTTTCAAAATAAAAAAAAAAAAAAAGAAAAAAGGGTAAAAATATAAAGTTAGTTATTACCAGATTAAAAAAAAAAAAAGCTTAGTAGGAATTTTCAAAAAAAAAAAAAACAAAGAGGGAAAAGAGTAAACACAATTGAATTTATAGTGGAGGATAATTTTATCAATTAAAATTTCAATGGTAATTGAATTTATAGTGGAGGATAATTTTATCAATTAAAATTTCAATGGTTAATTTTGTAGAATTTATTTGGAAATTCCATCAATTTTAGTAGAATTTGAGTTAAGCACGTCCAATTCCTCAGAATTCAAATCTATATTTTTCTCATTCCACAGAATTCAATTTTAATTTCAATGTTGTGCCAAATTAAAGCTAGATCAATTGTAGAAGAAGTCTGAACTAAACAATCTGCCTTAACATCAATGTCTGAGCCATTTCAGGCGGATAAGGTTGAATTACCGATTCAAATAGTTGAAGATTTAATGGAAACAATGGATGAAAAAGATGGGACATATATGAGATTGGTATGTCAGATGAAGATGTTGAAGCAGAGCCCCAAGTCTTAGGCACTTCAGAAGAAGACGAAGAAGAAGAAGAAACAAGAAGAAGAAGTGGATATGAAGAAAGATGGGACATATATGAGATTGGTATGTCAGATGAAGATGTTGAAGCAGAGCCCCAAGTCTTAGGCACTTCAGAAGAAGACGAAGAAGAAGAAGAACAAGAAGAAGAAGGATATGAAGAAGACGAAGAAGAATTAGATAGGGAACTTACAATAGTTAGTATATATTAATACATTCATTATGTGATAATTATTATATAAACTTAAAAATTATCTAATAATTATGTCAATTTCTATGTTTTATCACAAATCCCTTTATTCATGTTCGGATGGATACAGGCAGGGGGGTTGAGGACTCTGCACGAAGGGGACGAGGTCGAGGTATTTAATGACGAAAAGTCAAAGACTTTAAAACAATGTACATCGACCGATTGGCGACAAATATAGCGACTAACTTTGGCGACCGAATAGCGACTAAGGTATTTAGAGACCGAATAGCGACTACTTTATCTTTAATGGGGGTAAGTGATTCAGCGACTAGATTAGCAATTTTAGCGATTGAATTATCGGTTGCTAAGTTGCGATCGACGTCAAGTTCAGTCGCTAAGTAATTAGCGACAAGAAATTGTGCGACCGATTACTGTGGTCTCAAATCGGTCCCTATATTTGTTTTAGCGATAGAAAAAAAAAAGGATTAGATCGGTTGCTAAATGGCATTTTTTTTTGTAGTGTTACTTTCTAGAAAAAAAATTGTGCTACAAGAATTGAAGTCCAAAAAAAGTGGCTTTGAAATCCAAATGGCAAATTACATGAGAGAGAATGAGACCTCTCCTAAGGAACCTTTGTCTTTTGCTTCTCAAGAAATTGAAGTGCAAAGTCCTTAGTAAGCTCACACAAGAAAATGAGAAACTAAAAAATGAAATTTTTGATCTATAATCATCTCTTTTAGAATTTCCAAAAGGGAAAGGATAAGCTTCATTTCATCCTTGACTCCCAAACATCTCGCAACATCAAATATGGTCTTAATTATGACAAATTTTTTATGTTTGTTTCTTTTTACTTTCATTTATTTCTGTTTGCATTCTTTTTCTTCCACTTATTTTGTATGCTTTTGTTTACTTCTGTTTGTTTCCGTTTTGATTTTTTTTTTTCTTTCGTTTGCTTCATTTTACTTTTGTTTCTTTGTATTTTATATTTGCATATTTGTTTTCACGTTAAATCAACTTGTTCTTGTTCTCTTGTTAAAGTAGAAAATTGTTGCTGCCATATTTATTAATTGTGCATAATTTTGTTTGTTTCGATTTACCATTATAATAATGTCTTATATAGTACTGTGATGAAGCAATATGAATTTTTTATTCTTCAATCTATTTAAGCCAAATACATAAATTTGCACTTAAACTTTCACAAAATAACCGTACGGCATCCTCAACTTTTATGGGAACCAATTATGCACCTCAAATCCATTTTTTTCATCGTTCTTACAACTTTCCACACTGACATGGCAGAGTATGGATACAGTTGCCCAAAGGAGCGTTAATTAGAGTTATAAACGCCAACGTGAAAAAATCTTATCCAGTTTGGCTCTTAGTAACATTTTCTCTTTCATTTTACAACTACTTTCTCTCTTCGTCCTACCTAAAAGCAGCTTGCAATTCTATGCTTCCTTTTTGTAAATTTTTTTAGGGAGATAAATCCAATCGACTAAAGCCAACATTTTCCTTCATTTTCTCATGGACCAAACACAGTCAGTTCATCATATATTCAAATGAATACTGCACACTGAGAAATCTGCGAAGTCAATACATCAGGATATAGCTTCCATGCTTTGAAAGAACAAGATAAGAAGATTCGAAACTCATTCTTCATTGTGTGTCCTTGACTAAAGCACTTGACTCGCTCAATGAACAAGAGAAATACGGTTTCAGCTCCTGCAATAAACAGAACTCCCGTTGGTCGAAATCTCGACAGCAACGTCCATAACGTCCTTTTAATTGGCAATGCAAAAACCCTAAAGGATGGGCAAGAAAGATGAGATAATGGAGCTCGAAGATGGCGAGGGTACAAGAGGGAGGGTATTGTAAATCAAAAAGAGGAGAGTTAGATTGATCGTTTATTATAGGAATTGGTTTGTCAATTTTGTTGAAGAAGTAATCTCCAGAATCCATACGAGAACCTTCCATCTTCTTCAATTTCTACTTTTCTTATGCTTACATGATCTTGTGAAGCCATATTCGGATTTTAAGAATTATTGAG